TACCATAAAATATGTTTTAATTAAGGTATGTACATTCTTTTTTTTAGACATAATGCTATTGTACACTTAATTGACTACAGTAGAATGTAAGCATAACTTTTATATGCACTGGGAAACCCAAAAATTCATGTGACTCACTTTGTCACGACATTCATCTTATTGCAGTGGTCTCCAAGCAAACCCATAGAATCTCCAAGGTCTGCCTGTATAGTTTAAGCTCTTAGATTTAGGTCTCTGATCCACTTTGAGTTAATTTTTCCATGTGGTGTGAGGTGGGAGTCTGACCTCATTCATTTGCTTGTGGATGTCCTGTTGTTGCAGCACAGTGTGTTCGAAAGACTGTTTCCCCCATTGACTTTTTTGGCTCTCTTGTCAAAAATCAACTGGCCATCAAGAGAATGAGAAGACAAGGCACAGACTAGGAGAGAATATTTGTAAAGACATAGCTGATAAAGGATTGTTACCCAAAATATACAAAGAACTCTTAAAAATCCACAATTAGGAAATGAAGAACCCAATAGTAATAGGCAAATGATCTGAACAGACACCTCACCAAAAAAGATATACAGTTGGCAAATAAGCCTATGAAAAGATGCTCCACATATGTCATTAAGGAATTGCAAACTAAAACAACAATGAGATGCCACTACACACCTGTTAGAATGGCAGAAATTGAGGTTGCCAACAACAGCAAATGTTGCGGAGGATGTGGAGCAACAGAAACACTCATTCATTGCTGGTGGGAATGCAATATGGCACAGCAAGTTTGGAAGACAGTTTGGAAATTTCTTACAAAACTCAACATACTTTTATCCTATGAATCAGCAACCACCCTCCTTGGTATTTACTCAAATGAGTTGAAGACTTGTGTCCACACAAAATCCTGCACATGGATGTTACAGCAGCTTCATTCATAATCATCAAAACTTGGAAGCAACCAGGATGTCCTTCAGTAGGTGAATGGATAAATAACTGTCGACCCTTCAGACAAGGAATATTACTCAGTGCTAAAAAAAAAAGGAGCTTTCCAGCCAAGAAAAGATATAAGACAACTTTAAATGCATATCTCTAGGTGAAAAAGGCTGATCTGAAAAGGCTACATACTGTATCATTTGATTCCAACTCTATGACCTTCTGGAAAGGCCAAACTGTGGAGACAGTGAGAAGATCAGTGGTTGCCAGGGGTTAGTGGGGAGGGAGGGATGAGTAGGTGAAGCACAGAGGATTTTTAGGGCTTACTGTAGTAGTGTGTACACGTCGTTATACATTTGTCAAAACCCATGGAATGTCCAACACCAAGAGTGAGCCCTAATGTAGACTCTGGACTTTAGGTGATAGTGATGTGTCACTGTAGGTTCATCACTTATAACAAATGTACCAATCTGGTGGCAGATGTTGATAGTAGGGAGGCTGTGCTTGTGTAGGGACTGGGGGTATATAGAGATATGCGAACTCCACCTTATGCTCAATTTTGTTGTGAACCTAAAATATAAAATCTATTTTTAAAAAATCAGTTGGCCATAAATTTAAATTTGCAATAAATTTTTAAAAGTTAATTGTCCATTATTTTGGACCCTCAATTCTATTCCATTGATCTATATGTCTATGTTCATGTCAGTAACACGCTGTCCTGATTCCTGTAGCTTTGTGGTCAGTTTAGAAATCAGAAAGCACTAAGTCCCCCAACTTTGTTCTTTGTCAAAATTGTTTGGGCTCTTCTGGGTCCCCTGCATCTCCACATGAATTTTAGGATCAACTTTATAATTTCCGTAAGACAGGCAGTTGGGATTTTAATACGGATTGCACTGAATCTGCAGACCAATTTGGAGAGGATTGCCATCTTTATAACATTAAATTTTCCAGTCCATTAACGTGGGGTGTCTTTCCACTTATTTAGGTCTTCTTTAATTTTCTTCAATGGTGTTTAGTAGTTGTCAGTGTACGAGTCCTGCATTTCTTTCGTTAAATGTATTCTAAGTGTGTTTATACATAAATTTATTCTTTTTGATAGTACATAGGCAGAATTCTGGATAGTTCCTTGCTAGTATATAGAAAGACAGTTGATTTTTGTATATTGATCTTGTATCTTGCACCTTTGAACCTGAACTGGTTTATAAGTTCTAATATTTTTTGTGTGGATTCCTTAGGATTTTCTCTCATAAGATCATGTCATCTGTGGTTACAGAAAGTTTTACTCCTCCCTTTCCAATCTGGATTCCTTTTATTTCATGTTCTCACCTAATCGCCATGACCAGAGCCTGCAGTAAAATTCTGGGTGCAAGTGGTGAGAGGACCTCCCGATGTTGTTCCTGAGCAAAGGGAAAGCTTTCAGTCTCTCTCCACTGAGCACAGCAGCTGAGGGATTTTCGTGGATGGTCTTCGTCAGTTTGAGGGTGGTCCCTTCTATTCCAGGTTTGTTGACTGTTTTTTTCTGTGTCTGTTGAGATGATCATGTAGTTTTTGTCCTTTATTCTATTACATGGCCTATTCCATTGATTGACTTTCAGATGCTAAATCAATCTTGCATTCCTGGGATAAATCCCACTTGGCTCTTTTTATATGTTGCTGGATTCAATTTGCTGGTACTCAGTTGAGCAATCCTGCAACTATATTCATAAAGGATGTTGGTCTGTGGTTTTCTTTCCTTGTGATGTCCTTGTTGGGTTTGCTGACAGGGTGCTCCTGCCTTTTGTAGGATGAGGTGGGAAACGTTCTCTCTTCTTCTTGTACTTTTGGTGCTTTCTCTTCACTGCATCTTCATGTGTTGCTCAGTGTAACTGCCTTGCTCACTGAGGTCCAGCACTTGGCCCAGCCATGTCCCTGGAAGTTTAGTTTACTGCGTCGACCATGCTTGACCATGAGTATCCACTGGATGTTGGCCCCTGTGAAGAGGGTGTGGTGAGAGCCCCTCTCTGGGGAGATGAAAAGTCAGGGCTCTGAAACCCTGCACACCAGCTCTCAGGTGGCCGTTGGTCAGGCCTTGGGGGAGTTGCTGTTATACAACTGCCCAGGCCTCTTGGTTGGAAATGTATTTTTCTGGGTTTCTTTGAAGGTGTTTCAGAACAAAGAACTCTGCTCGGTTATGTTTAGGCCACACAGGAGTGAGATGTGGGAGGTGTCACCCCTGCAGGGAGTGGAAGCCCATCTGAGAAGCTCCTCAAGACAACGTCAGCCACATACCAGAAGGGAGCAAGCCTGGCAGGACAGGGGATGGGGGGATGAACGCAGCTGTCTGAGGCTAGGCGGCTGTCTAGACCAGAGTTCCTCCTGTCCTGAGCCCTGGGGGCCTGGCCCAGCTCCCAGGAAGCTTCTTCCAATGTGCTCTGGGATCCCAGACCACTGGAGCGGGTCCTAGCTAGGCTTCCTGGGGCGGCCCCTCCCAACCCTCAGAGCCCCTCCCATACACCCAGTCTCTTGCCCAGGAGGCAGGCCAACGGGATACCCACGCTGCCCTGTGGCCTCCTGCCCGCCCTGCTGCCAGGCCCTGAGCCGGCCTCATCCAGCCCTGCAGCTGCCAGTGGTTCCAAGCTTGGGTCCCCAGGGCAGGGTCAGAGCATGGACTGGAGGCTGGTCAGGACCCCCCTGGTCAGGACCCAGCTGGACAGCCTGTCACTCCCCTCTTACCCTTGTAGGTGCCAGTTTGGTGCTCCTCTCAGCTGCCCACCATGGCCTGGGGACTGACCAGCACCGCAAGCCTGGCACGCTTCTGCCAGAGGCTGAACCGGCTGAAGACACTGGAGGAGCCTACCAAGGAGACCTTGCCGCAGCGCCGCCTGACCACACTGCAGCTGACCCTCTTGGGTTTGGGTGCCTTGACGGGCTTTGAACTTTATGTGCTCACAGGCATTGTGGCCAGGAAGATGGCTGGCCCTGCGGTGCTCGTGTCCTTCTGTGTGGCTGCCGTGGCCTCCCTGCTGGCAGCCCTATGCTATGTGGAGTTTGCAGCATGTGTGCCCAGCACAGGCTATTCCTACCTGTTCACCTATGTGTCCATGGGTGAGCTGTGGGCCTTCGTTGTTGGCTGGAACACAATCTTCCAGTACCTCATTGCTGGCGTTGCCGGGGCCCGTGCCTGCAGTGGCTACCTGGATGCCATCTTCAGCTACCCCATCCGCAGCTTCATCGAGGCCCATGTGGGCATCTGGCAGGTGCCCTTCCTGGCCCAGTACCTCGACTTCTTGGCTGCTGGCATTGCACTTTTGGCCTCCGTGTTCATCTGCTATGGAGCCCCCCTCTCTTCCTGTCTTGACTACACCTCTTCTGCCATCAACCTAGTCGTCATCGTCTTCATCATCATCCTGGGGTTTGTCCTGGCCAACCCGCACAACTGGAGCACTGAGCAGGGTGGCTTTGCACCCTTCAGTTTCTCTGGGATCATGGCTGGTGCCGCCACTTGCTGCTATGCCTTCGTGGGCTTTGATGTTGTTGCTGACTCCAGTATGGAGGCCCGGAACCCAAAGCGAGCCGTGCCTATGGCCATCGCCATCTCTCTTGGTCTGGTAGCTGGCGCCTACATCCTCGTCTCCACTGTGCTCACCCTCATGGTACCCTGGCACAGCCTGGACCCTGACTGGGCATTTGTTGATGCCTTCTACCAGCGGGGCTATAGTTGGGCGGCCTTCATGGTGGAGGCTGCCTCCATCTGTGGTAAGGGGCACCTCAGGGCAAGGCAGGAGGGGAACAGGGTGGTAGGACCTTGCTCTAAGCCCCCAAGGGCACACATCTCCATCTGGGCCTGTGCTCCCAGTTGCATCCTGGGCCCAGGAGGGTGCTAATGATTAGACTCTTCACCAGGGCTTGTTGGGAGGGACCTACTCACTGTCCCTCCCAGTTGTACACAGAATGTCAGTTCTGGGCATGTGCTTCCAGATCCTTCCAGGCAGAGGGACTCAGCCCTCATCAGATTCTCCAGTGGATCTGCCACCTAAATTGGGATGTTTAATTCCTGGGTGTGATGGGGGACAATCCAGTACCCTAAATACACTCAGCCCACTCTGAGAGCCCAGACAAACTCATGCCCATGTTCCCAAGAGACCACCCATGTCTTGGCCCCCAGCAGCGGCCCCTGATGGGCCTGTCCACCATGCTGACCAGTCTCCTACTCTCTGTCACAGCCATGATAACTGTCCTGCTCTTCGACCTCTTTTCCTTGCCAAAGATCATCCATGCCATGGCCACCGATGGGCTCCTCCTCCAGGTGTTTACCTACATGCACTCCCAGATACAGGCACCTGTGGTGAGCATCCTGGTGTTCGGGGCCCTCATGACTTTCCTGGCTCTGCTGCTGGACCTCGAGGTGCTGGTCCAGTTCCTGTCCATCAGCACACTGCTGGACTATAGCTTCATGGCCACCAGCACTATCATGCTACGCTTCAGAAAGACACCTCCATCCAGCTCCCTGGCCCCAGGCAGCCCTGTGGGCACTGAGCCTGGGCAGCTGCGACCAGCCCTGAGGCCCTACCTCAGCTTCCTGGGTGGGTGCAGGCCTGGAGCTGCTGTGGCTTGGACCCTGGGTGTCCTGGTGGCCTCGGCCATCACTCTGGACTGTGTGCTGGTCTTCGGGGACTCAGCCCTGCACCTCCCGCCCTGGGGCTACACCCTGCTGCTCCTGCTCAGCTCCGCCACCTTTCTTCTCAGTCTCCTCATCCTGGGGGCCCACCAGCAACAGCGCAGGCAGGACACCTTTCAGGTACTTCCTCCAGCCAGCACCCACCGTGCTCAGCCCAGCCAGCTCCCTTCGCCCCTTCCTCCTCTGCCATGGCAGGATGCACCAGGGCCGCAGGGCTGGGGGAGGTCAGTACCCCACACCCTGCTCTCTGCATGGCGGGTGGGCCCATGTCTCTGGAATCTCCAGAGGCGGAGAAAGGCTCTGTAGACTCCTGAGAAGTCAGGCCCTGGGCCAGCAGCCCTTCCCTGTGGCCCAGCCCCATCCTTGTCCCCTCAGGTTCCCGTGACTCCCCTGACTCCCGCCCTGAGCATCCTCCTTGACATCTTCCTCATGCTGCACCTGAGTTACCTGACCTGGCTGGGCTTATTCATCTGGCTGCTGATTGGTGAGTTGGGTCCAGGCTGGGACCCCAGGTGGCCTGCAGGAGGAGGGCAAGCAGGGAGGCAGGGCTAGGACCAACCCCTCAGGCTTATGCCACCCTTGCAGGACTCGCGGTGTATTTTGGCTACGGCATCTGGCACAGCAAGGAGAACCAGCGTGGTTGACCATCCCACAAGGCAACCTGGAGGAGATGGTGCCAGCCCTGCAGCCCCCCAGCCAGGCACCAGCCCAGGAGCCCAGTCACACAGAGCAGCCGGACAGTCTATGAGGACCACTGGGGGCCTGCCTGCCCTCCCCATCTCTTCAGGTTGCCTGAGGTGTTGGCCACCCCTTCTATCTTGGGCAGCTTGGGTTTGCAGACCTGCCCGTGCTGGGGGGTCCTCAGGACCTCAAGACCTTAGACCAGGTGCTGAGCTTCGAGTCTTTGGGAGTGGGCCATGGCCAGCACTGGTGTAGTGGACTCTGCCCATCACCTTCCAGTTTATGACCAACTCTAGCTACCTGGGCAGGTGGAGTAGCGCGGGCAGGGAAGAGACTCGAGTCCCAGGGATCCACAGTAATAACTGCTTAGCCTGCCATGTGGCCAGCTGCTGTGTCCACTGTGGTAGACTTTGTGGCCCTGAGTCCTCACCTGCCCCTGGGAACTAGATGGTTGTCACCAATCCACAGCAAAGGTGCAGAGGTTCTGCAGGGAGGAGGTGCCAGGCCTGAGTCAGGGACACAGCCAGGCCTGATTCTCAGGGTCTTGCCCTCAGGCAACTGACCCCTGCCCAGCAGAGAGGGGAGCTACACACACCAGGCACAGAGGGGTCCCTCACAGAGTGAGGCCGGGCTCCCTCCCAGCCTCCCCACATGTCATCTTGAGGACAGATCCAGAGAGCAGAGCCATTGCAGTTCCAGGTTTTCCTCATTTTCCCAATCCTGAGACCTGCCTCGGATGGAGAGGGCCCCCTGCCTGGGCACACACATCTCTCAGGCACAGGCCCACATGGCCCACACAGTCCCCTGGGCATGCACCCACGTGCAGACTGAGGCAGCAGCTGTTTCCCAGCCCAGGGCTGCCAGCAGCTTCCAGCGGCCTCTCTCCCTGCTGCCCCCTCAGGGCTTTGTGACAAAGGCTCAGGATGAGACACACATGGGCAGGTGGGTGCATAAGTACCTGGGCCTGCTCCAGGGACCTTCCACCCAACTGTGGTGTTGAAGCCCCATCCATGGGGGTCCCTAGGCCCACCCTGCACCCCCCGTGGTCTCCCCAAGGCCATGCTCCATCTACAATAGCTGCCTCCCCCTCCCCGTTCTTGCCTGTGAGGACCACACAGGAAGCCGCTGGCTTTGGCAGCTTTACTCCTCGACTCTCTGCAGCCTCAACAACACTTTCTCTGGGCCCCAAGGGCAATCAGGGACATGTGACCCCACTCCAATAACCAGGCCTCAGGGCCATGATCTCTCACTCAGGCCCTTCTGAGCCAGCCTCCCATGGACACTGCCCTGGGGGTGAGAGGCAGCAGGGATCCCAAGGCTTTGCTGAGGCTCCTGGTGCCAGATGATTCCAGATGTTGCCCAGCCTGAGCCCCAGGCCCCCCTCCCAAGTCTGGCCTGTGTCCCTCCACCAGCAAGCTGCCAGCAGGGCCCTGCTCACCAGGGACCCATGTGGAGGCAGCCTCTTGTCTCCCTGGGGTAGGTACAACAAACTCTGCCCCTCCCTGGGAACCAGAGAGGGCTTGGCTCCTGCAGCCCTGTCCCTGCCCTCCTGACCATGGGCCCAGGACATGGGGAAATTCTCCAGCAGGCAGGACTCAGACCCCCAGGAGGATTCCAGAGCCAGAACCAGGCCAACCTGCTGGGGGCCCTATGTCTTCTCTTAGGGACATTCTCTCCACCCCCTGGGCTCCACCTGGGGTCTTGTTCAGAGCGTGAGCTTCATGCAGTTGGCTTAGGCTGCATGGGCAGCTGCCCAGACATATTCTTGGGTGTGACCTTGGGCAGCTGTGACACGTGTGTCCAGGGATACAGCCTCCCCACCCCATGGCTCCCAGGAGTCCGGTGAGCAGCTTGCAGGGTCTTGTGCTGCGGGTACCAAGGAGACATATAGAAGATTCCAAAGGACCCCATGCCCACCAACTCAGCCCCTCCACCCACGTCCCCATCCCAGCCCTCCACAGGCTGAGGGCTGCCACCAGGAAGGGGATGGTGCTCATCAGCTGAGCAGGTAGGGGACAAAGGAATCCTGTGCCCTTGTCTGGGGTCCTAGGGGGTCAGAGCATCTGCCCACCACATTCCTCACTCTATGGATGAGGCCCAGAACTGGGAGGGGCCCTGCACTGGGAACCCAGCACAGAGCAGCTGCCACAGCTCCTCTTGTCAGGCTGCCTTCTCCCTGGCCTTGGACTCTGGCTGCACAGACCCCAGTGTGGGGCAGCTGAGAGGGCAGGGCCTCTTCCTGTCAGGGGGTGCCAGCAGGGGGAGGAGGGCTGGGAGCCAGGCAGGGCCGGAGGTGACCACGGCCAGTGTGGTGCACAGCTGGAGAGCGGGGAGCTGCTGGGAACACTGGAAATGGAGACTAGGAGAGCATCTCCAGCCCCAGCCCCAGCCGGAGCCCCACTGGACCGGGGCCCTGCGTCTGTTCCCTGCAGTCTCTACACAAAACTGGCTTCTGTGGTCCCCAGGCAGCACCTGCCGAGGCTGGCGCTGGGGAGGGACAGGCTACCTGGGAGCAGAAGGGTGGAATTCTTCCCCAACCCCTGCCCTGGGCCTTCCAAGGCTTCAGCCATGAGTCCCCAAGGTGCGGGCCCCTAGTCATTTGAGCCTCCAACCTCCAACCAGCAGAGAAAGGCTACAGGCCTCAGGAATGGGCCAGCAAGTGGGTGCCAGGCCCACCCTGGTGACGGTGTCCAGCTCCCAGCAGCAGCAGTGGGGGCAGGTGCTGGGCCCCCTCTAAGGCACCTGGGCAGCCAGATGTGGAGAAGCTGCCTGTCTGCTCAGGGTTGGCAGTTCCCTTTGGGGTCTTTGTCTGCAGATGAAGACAGCAGGTCAGGGTTCCAGCCACCATCCTCCAAAGTGTAGCCCACGGTCAGGCAGGCCTGCAGCCCCCTCCTCATGCTTGATCCTCCAGTAGAAATGGGCTTCTCCATCCACGTACAACAGCAGCAGGTCACAGAAGGGGGTGATCTGGGAGAGGCAGGGCAGACCCACGGCCCAGCCCCCAAACTGCCATTCGCCTCCTCCCCAGCCCTCACTCCAAGACTCAACATCAGCCAGGGGGCTTGGGAGGCACTCGGGGGGCACATGCTTGCTGACAGCCAGAGGGAGCCACGATGGCCAGACTCATCACCCCCAGCCAAGCCGCTCCAGTGCCCAGCATGTGGGGTGTGGGGATAAGCCCGAACTTTCCTGCCTGAGAGAGACCTAGGCCGAGCCTCTCTGCCTGTGGCTGTCACCCCCTCCAGCCCCTCCTCTCTTCCCGCCCTCACCTGTCCTGGCCTGACCCCTACCTGCCCAGTGATGAGGATGGCGAAGCGGATCCCATAGAGCTGAGCAGGCTTCGGGCCTCCACGCCTGAGGCCTCCCCTCAGTGAACAGCTGTCCTGGGGCAGGAGAGAGTCCAGTGGCTGCTCTGCCCACTCCTGGATGGCCTGGCCCTCACAGGTCTCATCTTCCTCACCCACTAACTCCACCCCCAGCCTGAGTCCTGGGTCTCAGACCTGTGTCACTGCTGAGGACACAGGGGACAAGCAAGATGGGACCTGCCTCTCAGAAGCTCCCTGACTGCTGAGGGGACAGGGACAGAGGATCCCTAAACAGACAGGGGCAGTGGGGGTGGGGGAAGTGGGGCAGGCCTGTGGCTGTGGGGTCCTGAGAGGGGCGATCACTCTCCCCCAGGAACCAGGGAAGACTTCCTGCTAGGAGACCCTCAGGCTGGATTCCCAGGGCTCAGAAAGGAGCTCTAGGCAGGGCAGGGAGAGTGCAGAGGGGAGGGGAGCAGGGCATAGGTGGGTCCAGCCCCACATGGTTGCACAGGGCTGAGGAGACCAGCGAAACCAGGCCAGGAGGGCCCAGAGGACAGTATCACAGAGCGTCCCCTCCAGGCCTGGTGGCTGTGTGCATGTCTGTGTGAGGGTGACAAGGTGACATGAGGGGGCAGAAGGATGGGACACATCTGCTTAGGAGACTCAAAGACACGACAATACACACAACAAAAGAGCCTTGAGTGCATCCTTGATAAGAAAATAAAAAGCTTTAGGACTATTTCTGGCACAGCTGGGGAAATTTAAATATTAGATCTATCTGCCAATGTTAAATTTCCTGAGTGTTACAAGAGGACAGCGGTCACCTGGGGAAGGTCCTCCGTCTCAGGACACCGTTGAGAGAGGTGAGTGTCCGGATCTCTGCAGCAGGGTGTGGGGACAGATGGGGTGGAGGCCAAAGGGCTCAGGAGGGAGGCTGGATGGAGCCTGTGCTCGGGGACCTGGAGCTGAGAGACCCCCGCCTGCCCTGGGACCCCCTCACACACACAGCAGAGCGTCCAGAGGGATGGGCCAGGCTGTGGTCTGTCCTGGCCACCACAGGAGGACAGGTGGGGGAGGACCTGGCTGAGGAGCAGCAGGTGGGCAGTGGGGCCGCACCTGAAGTTGGAGCTCCTCTCCTGCAGCTGGAAGGAGCTGTGGGGCCGGAAGACAGAGCCCCCGCTGTCCAGGTCACAATCCCAGCAGACATGGATGGTACATCACCACCCTGCACACAGTGCATCACTGCTCCCCCAGAATGTGGGCCTGAGAACCTCTCCCTGAGCCCTCCCAGAGCCCTGCCCCCACAGACCCACCAGCAAAGCCAGGTCCTCAAAGACCTCTCCAGCTGTGGTCAGAACATCACCCATGTGGAACACAGGACAGCAGGGGCTGAAGCATGGGATGTAGTGGCAGCACTTGAAATAGGTGGTGTCCCAGGTCTCGAAGGCATTGGACCTGAGAGGGAGTGGGGCTGGGGGTCAGGCCAGTAGGGGACAAGGAGGATCTGGGGCCAGCCAGGACCCACCATGCTTACTTGAAGAAGTTGAACTTGCTGAAGGAGACAGTGATTTTGATGAACAGCGTGAAGTTCTCAGCCTGGACCAGCAGGGGCTTCCTGCAGGTGGGGGAGGTAAGGGGCAGGTTCTGCTGGTCCTGGGACCTGCCCTGGGTGTCTGGAACATTTACACAGGTACAGTGTCGCTCTCCAAGGGGCACTAGTCCAGGATGTCACAGGTCCTGTGGGTCCCATTGAAGATCACACACTCACCCGTTTTTATGCCTTAAAAGCATGAGACAAACTCCAGGCCTCCAATCCCCAAGGGCCTAGGAAGGGAATGGGCAGGGGGCTTCTGGCAGAAAGAAGAGACACAGAGGTACCAGCAGGCCTGTACATGGGAGACACCCAGGGACCCAGCCCAGCACCCTGAACCCCATCCCAGTGGAGGCGCTGGAAGACAGGGCCCACAGTGACCATGTCTGTGCGTCCCCGTCTCCCCTTCAGGACAGTCCTCATCAGCCCAGCAGGTCCCCAGTGGGATGGAGGGGGGCTGAGGTGGTGAGAGAGCAGAGCTGTCCTGGGCCAGGAGGGTCTCCCCTGCGTGACCCAGCCCTGCAGTCCCCAGGGACACGCCCCTCCCCTGCTTAGCCCCCAGGTTCCCTGAGTTTGGGGCACATGGAAAGCTGGAGGGCGCAGATAAAAGGAAGTGGTCAGAGGGGGAGGGGGAGCAGGCCCCTGGTCAGATAGGGGTGCAGCGCTGTCTCCCAAGGCAGAGCGAGACTCCTTCCCTCCCGATAGTTCTGTCCCCGGGTGAGCGAAGTGACTCCTCGAGGCCCAATTCCCCTGGTCCCATTCAGATGACAAACTAGATATGGTGGAGGGACTCTGGGAGGGTGAGCCCATGCCAGGGTGGAGGTTCTGGGCATGGCATACAAAGGGCAGGACTCTTGCTAGAGGGGCCCACAGGGAAGTGGAACCCCACACACTGGCCAAGGGACCACAGGCCAGTCCCTTCCTGGCTTGTTCTGCTGTAAACAGGGACATCAGTGCCTGCACAGGGTCACAGAGTTCTGGGCATCACCCAGGAGGGGGTGGGGGCAAGTGCTCTGGGAGCCCCAGACCCTGGAGAGGAAGCACCTTCAAGCATCGGGCACTGAGACAGACATGGCTCTGCCAGGTGGAGGGTGGACGCTGCTGTCCAGGGCCCCTGGCTCAGGGGCAGCAGGAGGAACACAGCACCATAGTGGCAGGAAGGGCTGGGGACTTGGTGGCCACCATCATGGAAAGGGAGCCTCCAAGGGTGGAAAGCAAAGGCTGGCAGTCTCTGATGGTGTCACCTGTGAAAGCTCAGCCTGGCCTCTGCGTAAAGCACACCTGGGGGCCACAGGAAGACCACAGGGACAGCGGAGGCAGCAGAGAATGGACGGGAGGGAGGGGCAGGCAGGTGTTGAGCCAGGTCTAGCTTTGGCCCTGGGGATGTCGTGGCCTCATTGCATGAAAAGAGGCCCCCCTTGGAGAGGGAGAGGGTCCCTTGGATGAGGTGGGTGTGCACCAGGAGGCAGCTATGCAGGGGCAGGTGTCCCTGGGGTACAGTGGGGGGATCAGCAGAACAGAGGAAACGGGGGCTGTGGAGGATCTGGGTGGAGGGAGGAGGGGCCAGAATGCCATGTGGGTTGGGCAGAGGAGGAGCAAGCCCACAGGGCCCAAGGCAGGGAGGGAGCCTTCAGGATCCCCAGGCTCTGCCCCCTGTCCCCCAGCCCTCCCTCAAACTCAAGCCTTGAGCCCCCAGACCCTCCACTCTTCCGGATGCCCCTTTGTAAATGCAGTCCCTCTGGCCCGGCTTCCTGACCCATCACCCTGTCCACCTGGAAACCTCTTACAAATCCCCAAGAGCCTGTCCAGGGCCACTCCTCTGTCAGGTCCTTCCTGAGCCCGGCCCTTTGACAGCGCCAGCAGCCCCTCTGGCATCACATCCCCTCTTGCACACACTCGCTACAGGGAAGGGGTCAGAGGTGTCAGCGCCTGGCAGCAGCACCCACACACCCACTTGTGGTGGCTTCACGAAGTTGGCCATGACCCACAGTTGGTTCCCCAGCTCCTCTATCTGAGTCACGTAAACCCCTTTGAGTTTGGTGATGACAGAAACCTGGGGGTCCAGGACCTGCTCCTGGTAGCCTTTTTTGGCGAGGAGGGCCCACCTGGGGAGGAGGCGATGGGCAGTGTGGTGTGTCCCCCGCACATGATGAGCAGCAGCAGAGCTGGCCCTGCCCACTCAGCCCCTACACACCCTATAGGCTCCCAGCACAGCGTTCAGACCCCGCCTCTTCTCCAGCCTCATTTCCACCCAAACACCCGGCACAGGCTAGACATTCAGGCCATGCATAAGAGAGCCATGCACTCAGACTGAGCTGCCCACCTCCTCCCTCAGCAGCCCTTGCCCTCCCCTGCCCCGGCCACACCAGCTCCTCCTCAAAGGCTCCCCTGACCCAGCACAGCTGGTGGCCTTTCTCAGGGGCCTCAGGGCTGCAGCTCTCACAGGAATCAGGGACTACCTCCTGCCCTCCTGGGGCCTCCTGGGCAGGACAAGACCATACTGCTCTGCGCCCAGAGCCCAACACGGGGCTGAGGACAAGGCACAGGAAAGGGGGCAGGTGGACGCACAGGAGGACACAAGCACACGGCTCGCTCTTGTCGCTGCTGGCCTCTAGACAGACGGAGATCCTTCCTTCTGCCCCTCCCCTGTCCAACATGCCCACTCCACCACCACCAGCCTGGCCCCTGAAGAGTCAGACCCCCCCATCCTCAGCCCAGCAGGACCAGTCAGGGTCCCTCCAGCCAACCGCCCAGGAGCCATTCTCTCACCCACCACATAGACCAGGACCCCGAGCTGCAGCAGCCTCTGCAGGGCGCCCACCCGCCACTTCCTGGTCATCCCATACTTCTCAGTTTTGTAATCCAGAAGCCCCCAGCCTGTCCCGGCCCCTGGGGAGCCCCTGCTCTCAGCTCTAGCTGACTGCTGGGAGCAGGAGTCAGCACAGCAGCTGCAGCCCCAGCTGAACAGGAGGCAAAGCAGGGGCCCAGGTCAGGCCACGCCAGCAGTGTTAAAAGGACACTTCCACTGGGGACAGGATCAAGCCCCAGCCCAGTCCTGGGTGCAGTCCCAACCCCCAGCTGCCCTGGGCCTCCCTTCCTCCCCACACTCCCACTGCTGGGCCCTAGGGCACAGACAGGAGCACACCCTCTCCCCTGCCCTTTGATCTCACTTCCTTGGGGGTGAGCAGATGACAGGGTTATAGGTACTTTGAGAGGGTGGCACGGGGTTGGCAGAGCCCAGGAGGGGCCAAGGAAAGCTTCAGGAAGAAGGGCCCTCTGAGCTGACACTGCAGATTCTGAAGTTCAACAAGCGAAGCTGGGGAGGGATGTTCCTGGTGGAGGAAGCTGCACATGGGACCCTAGAGCAGGAGAGAGAACTGGGACCCACAGAGAGAGAGCGTGACTCTGGCTCCAGAGAGGAGGGTGGTTGGCTCTGCAAGGTCCCCAAGGCCCTCCTGTGCAATGCCCAGTAGACCTGTCCCACCCCCAAGCGCAGGGACTAAGCACAGCTCTGGAGTCAGGGAGTGTCCTCAGTCAACGAAAGGGGGGGCTGCTGCACCCACGCTGACGGCAGGGAGAACAAGCGCCCGCAAGTCGCCCAGCCCTGCGTCAATGGCCCGTGGCGTGTGCCCTTCTGAGCCCTGGCCAGGACCGGGCTTAAGGTCAGCGCAGGCCAGCGGCG